GGTAGAGGTTGCATTCGCCTAATGCAAACAAGCAACCAAAATTACCATAAACGCTATTCCTTAGTCACACCACAACACCCTTAGAAAGTGGCGTGCCGGAGCTATGCATTCAATTCGTAGGCAGCGATGGTTCCGTATATAATCCGAGAAAGCTGGAAACAACAGATTTTAGATCAGGGAGATAGATAGACTAGTTTTGAACCACCTGATCTCCATGGATCCAATGAACATAAACGTGATTATTATGAGCAAAGGATCCCTCTTTTGGAGAAATGTACTTTTTGTTTGAGAAAGAATATTTGAATAATACAATTTTTAAAGGAAAAAGTAAGGGGATATCTAAACCGCTTGTGAGGTTTAAAGTATCGTATGACAACTTGAGTTACATGTAGCACTAATCTGTTTTACAATTACAGTTTGCGCTTTGCTGACAATGAACCTCTCCGAATTATTCTATCTGTCTGCTCTCATTGCTTATTTTTCATTTCAGGTAAATCGAGTAAGATTATAACGCCATCATGAAACAATTTACACGGTATTTTATCCTCTGGTATGGACTTCTCGAAACATACATCTTTACTGGTTGCATATTTGGGTGGACGGCGCTTCACTACATGCTGAGGCAAGAAGGTATTTATTCAACTGTTTGCAAAACAGATGGCTTAACCTCTTTGATGAATGTTTCTTTATGGAATGCGTCACATAGTGAAAACGAGTCGAGGTTTACAAGTTCAACTGAGATTCCTACACAGAAAATCAATGTGAGTATATTTTTCTTGCATTATCTGTGATTATTGGAAAAGTCAAACAACAAGAATCAGCGTCATATTTGTAAATTTGATTTAAAAAATTTGGAAAATTTACAAATGTAACGCTGATTGTTGTTGGATTTCTGCAATAATCATTATTTGGCGTGTTATTTTAACCTAAATATCTGTGATTTTATTGCTCACAACATATTTGAATCTTAAAATAATTTTTAATTATTTAATACAGGATATCCTAAAAATCAATGTACATTTAAAAATATTTGTTTCCGTTAATTTAAAGTATAAAGAAACGCAGTCAGCACAGATATGGTCATTTTACTTATTCGCATACATCACTAGTTAAGACACTGGAACTTCTATCAAATTTGTTACATCTTGGTTATTTCGTTATTATTTGTTCGTTATTATACCTATAGAGTTAACGGTTTCCTTACAACGTCTTTGATTTCTCCTTTGGCATTTAAAAAATATTTAAAGTATTAATTTGATTAAATAAATCGTACTATTCGGTTTGGCGAAACATTTCTTCATTAACAGAGCGTGAACTCCAGTTAGTATGTATGGAATTAATATCTCATTAAAACGGATGACATGGGAACAATCTCTTTCCAAGTTGAGAAGCAAATTAGCCAGTCCTGCGGAGTTCTCGCTGTGTAGATAAGCAAGGCAGTTCTGTTTCTGAGTATAGCAATTCCAATTTCAGTTTCCAGCCTCCCAATTGCCTTGAAGTATTTAATGACTTGCCTCGCATATATATATACTCGTCTCAAAAAATAAGCAACAAACTCTAAAAGAAAACCACGAATGTGAAAATGGGAATTAAAACATACAATTTACATATGAGGTTGCATTCGCCGAATGCAAACAAGCAACCAAAATTACCATAAAACGCTATTCCTTATTCCCACCACAACCAACGCTTTAAAAAGGGGCATGCCGGACCTATGCATTCAATTCGTAGGCAGCGATGGTTCCATGTAATCCGAGACAGCCAAAGCGTAAAGCATGAGTCGAAGGTACCATTTGCAGGATGAAATCCGTTGGAGGACTGTCAAGATGTTGCAAACTGATGCAAAAGAATCCGCTGTTGCGAGAGAGCTGAATGTGCATCGTAATGTTATCAATAGGCTTCGGAATCGTTACTAAAGGAACCAAAACCTTTGCAGAAGACGTGGGTCTGGGCGCCGGAGGATTACCACAACGACAGACGATTACTTTCTGTTATTAAATGCAAGACAATGTAGATCAATAACAACATGATAACTGGCGTCACATCTCTCTACTGCTGTAGTATGGACCATATACCGCCAAACTGCGTCGCGTCGAATGCATGAAGTGGAGTGTGCACCCGACGACCTGCGATTTGTGACGTGGGACCTTTATCCCCATCGCATGTCGGTGCGCGGTTGAACTGGGCCCGTGAACATAGTTGGAGACAAGTACGTTGGACGGATGAGTCTGGATTTAATATTCAGAACGATTTCCGAAGGGGGAATGATATTGCGAGGACCAGGAACACGCTATCTGGCGCCAACCATCGTCGAAAGAGACCATTACAGAGAAGAAGGCTTACTTGTATAGCTGTTATAGCAACGACCGGCTGCACCGACGCCTACGTGATTCCTGGTGATTCCATCACATACATACGAAATCGCGAAGAAATTCTACACCCTCTTGTGCTTCCTTTTAGCACTGTAATGGGTACTGACGCGACATTTATGCAAGATCACCAACTGAATCACTTAGAGTTGGGTATGTTAGGAGATGAATAGCCACAACAGGTAATCAATGTCCTTATTGCCATCTTGACTCGCCATTATCAAGCAGCATTTTAACTAGTGTATATCATACCCGTTATTAGCGTGATATTTCCATTGCACATTCTTCCGACCCATTTGGACTTTTGCTATGTGGTACAGTAATGCCTCAAAACTTCTTGGATCAATTTCAAGCGTGTACATTAAACATTTTGGTTTGATTCCGTGTTTTGCCTTTGTTGCCTATCGTTTGAGCAAGAAGTGTAATATTATAAGGAGTTACATTTATATCAATAAAAATTACTGCAAATTACCTCATTTCAGAGATCTGCTAATTTTTTTAATTCAGGACTTTATTTAGTGACAGCTTATTGATGCGTACGTTTTTACTTATATTTTAAATTTTTATATTTTAGTACAGAAATCTAAAATAAGCTTTTAATTAAAAATATATGTTTAATATGTTTGAACAACAAATGCATTGGTGAAAAAAACACATATTACTTTAAAAAAATGAAAATTTTAACTCCTTTCCAAGGCACATTTATTGTAAATAATTAATTATAAATAGAGTAAAAGTTCTTTAGCCTATTGAAAAATCTATAATTTAGAAAGTATTTACGATGTACTAGATAATTTAAAAATTATTTCAGTGAGAAAGGCTTCTAAAAACGAAAAACGTTCATTCAATAAATAGTGATGTAAATTGTATAATTAAAATATGATTTAATTTATGCAGATTTTTAATTCGTTTATAACTTCATACCAATACCGTAAATAACAAGGACAATTTACTAAGATTCGGAGATGTAAGCCGAAGATCTATTGCGTTTTTCCCTTTGAAGTATTGTGTAATTTTTCTCGACGTTCATTAGAAATGATATGATTCGCATTAGGTAACTTAACTTGAGAAAGCATACACTTTGTGATAAAATTTGAAAGAGATTTTAGGAGAAGTTATTTAAAGTTTGAAAGAAAATCCGAAATATTTGCGAGATTTTCATTGTTACATGCACTTACATTAGTTTCAGTAATTATTTATTCTTGAATTCCTAAATTTTCCTTCAATTTCTCAATTTTCATTCTTTTCCTTTGAGATAAGTGTAAATACTTAATTTTGTTAAATGAATTAAAGAGCAAGAATTTGCTCTTCTTTCTTTAACTCAGACCAAAATGTTAGACAAATCCCAGATTTTGTCAAATCACATGTAAATATTAAAATTACACAGTACATGATATTTGAGCTTATCTAGTCTCAAAGCAGTATAGATTAAGTAACTGATAAAAGACTCATCGATTCTGAATCCGAAAGATTGAGCACGAAAATTCTAGAAGTGGTAAAATTTAAGTGGTATTCAAAATACGTTGATTCAAAATACGAATCATCTCGGGACGAGATTATCATTTGCACAGAATTTCCCTCAAAGATGTTTTTTTAACGAACCAAACAGCTGCTACAATTGTCTTGTTATAGTTTACAGCACATTTCTCGAATAAATTTCTTTGCATGGCCATTTCCTCTGGACCCTCTGAATCTGAATAGGCCATCCACTTCGGTTTTCATTAAGAACTTTAGAGGGGCTTTGAGAAAAATTAATTTTCGACTCAACTTGTACCTGATTTTAATGTAAAAAACAATTTACTCACAAGTGTACAAACATGTAAATCAAGGAACATTGAGTGATCTGACGAGGGGATTCCCCGAGTCCAGCCCGATCTGGAAATCGCATACCAACAGCCTGGATCGTTGCTCGTTACTCGAGTCAATGCTGGTATTTAGAGACGAATGTTTCGCTCATACTTTCCTCGTATCTCGAATTTCTCGTATATAGAAGTGCTTATATCTCGAGGTTCCACTGTATTTTACATTTTAAAAACACAAAAATAAAGGCAGGCGAATTTAATATATTATGTGCTTGAACAGGAAATGAAAAATAAGTCTAATGAGAAAATATTTCAAAGTATCAACATTGCTTAATAGAATTATTTTAAATTACATTTTTGCTGTACAAAGCTAGCTAAACGTTACTACGCTACCAAATAGGAAAATTCGCAGACAATAATTAATTTATAAAATGTTTTAAAACCTTAACTGCCATATGACCCACCGGTGGATCATGATAGGTTTGTTTCTAGGGCCTCGTGATCCGCCGGTGTGTTGCAGCAACGTTTACGTTTGTGGCAGCAGGTACCACTGATGTGTCACTTTTTCTGAAGTTTTATTTGGGAATATAAATTGTTTCTGTCTCCATATCATTCTGCTCAAATTTGTCCAAAATTACAAACGTATATATTTTCATAAATGTATTTCTTTATTACTCATGAAAATGTACAAAGTTAAAAATTTTAAGAATAATATTTATTTTGTTATTTTACAAAATGGTGTTAAAAATGTGAATATGTGCTGCAGTGTTCTGGATAGCACACGTCGATGATCGTGTGAGTGTACGCCGTCTTCCAGACGAACAATTATTCTCCCCTTTACAGCTGGTCATCTGGTGGTGGCGGTATTATGCTTTGCGGGACGTTCTCATGAGCGGCTCTGGGACCCTTAGTTTTGGTAGAACAGACCATGAAAGTTGCAGCCTACGTGAACATAACTGCGGATCAGTTGCCCCTTACCGTCATCTGTCTTCCCAAATAGAAAAGAGTCTTCCGGCAGAAAAGCGACCCATATCACAAGGCTTGAACTATGTTGGAGTGGTTCGAAGAGCATAAAGAGAAATCCCAACTAATGTCTGGCCATCTAACTCGTCGGATCTTATTCCAATAGAACACATTTGGGATGTCATTGAGCAGCAGCTCAGAGCTAGTACAGCACCATGTCAGAATATGTCGATTTTGCCTCACCGCTGTTTTGACATTTTGTACAACCTGTCTCCAGTGTCTTTGTACAACTTCTGGCCTCCGTGCCAAGGCGAGGTACAGCTGTTATGCAGGTCAAAGGTCGCGCAACGCGTTATTGAATAGGTGGTCCTAATGTTTTGGCTCTTCAGCGTACATTCGTTAGATAATATTGTAAATAGTTATTTTTACTTTTAATTTTTATGAGTTGTCTGATAAAAGTTGTAATTTGCATGGTTTGGATAAATGAGGTTCTATTGTATGTACTCTAATTTTAAAAATACTTTTTAATTCAGAAAAAAAAAGTTATGTTAAGATAATATAATAAGCAATATAACTAACTTATGAAGTATGTAAAATTCTTTCTAGACAAGACTTTTTTTAAATAAT